TGGTGATGTTGAGATGAAGAGGAAATGGGGATTATCCATTCAACACAATTCTAAGCAGTTGCTGCTGAGCTGTTTCCCAGAATATAAGAATTTGCTAATTCTCAGATGGGAGATGATGAACCTCAAATAAATGTGGTGCTTCTTTTTTAACTGGGTTTCCTTTCTATTTGAATGGGCAGGTAGGATAAAGGGAAAAGAAGGGAGCACATGATATTATCCCTATGATTCTGTTACAGCTGGTCACTTTATTTGCCTGTGCTAACATTGTCATGGTGATGTATGTACATGTAAAAGTGGGTATTATGTTGCACCAGGGCAACATTAAGAAATTGGCCTATTAAAAAATGCTTTTAATAAATACATTTCAGTATATGAAATGCTATAAAATAGGAATGCAACAATAATTATTAATATATTGGTAGTTTATTTTAGCTTTATAGAAAATTTAGGTTTTCTGTGTATAAAGAAATCTCTTCACACTCAAGTAACATTCCTTTGAATTTGTAGAATTACTTTGGTTTATTTTATTTCTTTTCTAATAAAAATGCTTTTATATATTTATAAATATAAATATTTGTATTTTGTTATAATAACAGTATAACACTTGGAATTAAAGAGAGATTTACTCAACATGAGTGTTCCACACTGCAGTACCTGCTCTTCTATAGTAGCACCCTGTTTTAGTGTGCTACTGTACCAAAAAATGAGAATAATCAAGTTAATTCCTTCAAATCTGAAGGAGAGGAGGCTGGAATCCAGACTATCCAGATTTCCCTGAGTCCTGTAAGCAGAAGCTCTAAAAAGAGATCCAGTTTCCAGTAACAGACAGTAGGAAATGTTTGAAGCTGCTGGGGGCCTGCATCCCTCACGCTTGCTGTCTGCAGCATTGCAACCTGGATTCTGGGGACAACTAAAGAAATCTACATAAGTGTCAGAGAAATCCCACAGCTTGCACTCAAGGAGGCTCTAGCTCCAATCATTTCTGCGTTCCATCCCTGGGGATGTCCATAGCAGCCTCACTGTGAGAAGAGGTAATTCTGTTAACTGGATAGGGAAAAAGGAAATCTGCATAAAGACATAGGTAGTGGGTATGCAGCTTATGCATGTCCAGAAGAATCGTACCAAGCAGATTTATAATTTTGTTTGTTTCCATTCTCTACAGTTCCATCATCAAGGAGGACGTGCATCAAAAATAAAGCTGCTCCTCTGCAGAGAAAATATGTCTATTTATGAAAGGTCTTTATATGATAAAAATCTTGTATTTCAGAAGAGGAAATTTGTTAACATTACAGAGATCAGTTCACTTTGTCAGAAGCCTCCTGATGTGAATAGATTCTGTTTCTTTTACACATGGAATACTGAATAAGGTTTACCCTTGTAGACTTTACCTTAATGGCATCTTCACTTAGTTTCCCCAATAAAACCTTTATTGCAAATTCAGTAACCATTCTCCTTTTTAACAAGGTTGCCATCCTGCAAATAACTGCAGAGACAGGAGCTATTTATGGGAATGCATTAGCAAAATACGATCCAGCCATGATTTATCTTTCTTGTGGTAACTTGCTTTAAGTAGGAGGGAGTCTGCAGTCAGTGTTTATAAGTGCCAGTTCTGTGTCATTGGTGGGTTGCCTTCCCCATCCCAAAATAGAGTCTTGATTTTGAAGTATCAGAACCACAGTGGAAGTCTCAACCCCTCAGTAGATAAGACACATAACAAAGCGTAAGCATGGGCTTGGGTATTCCAGTTGATTCACTGTTCAGTCCCTGAGCTGCTCCCTTGTTAGGTTCTCTTGTCCATCAGGCATAGGTACAGAAGGGATGTAAAGATATTCCTCAATTAACCTCTGCTGCTACAGGTGTAAAGAAAACCTGTCATTGTTGGAAATGAATGACTTCTGATAAAATGGAAAAGGCTTCAGCCAGGGGCAGAACTAGTATTAAAAATAGTTCAAATAAGTGAAGTTTAGTAAAATTGCTGTCAATTGAAAACAAGTTCCCTTTATTAGATGTATTGAGCATTCTTACAATTCAGAATAGTGCTGTCAGTACTGTAGCAGTGTATTTTGTCAGTACTGTAAGCTCTTTTTCCAGCAGTTAAGTAGCCTTTAGACAAACATTTTGATTTCATAACTATGTTTTGAGATTTGTGGGTTTGATATTGCTACTTCCTGCATCCTGCAGTGCAAGAATTAGCAGGTTTGTGGAAAACCATCTGGGGAACAGCAGGAGAATTCTGGCGCTCTTCCTTGGGGTTTTCTTTCCTTTCATTTAAATATAAGACTGAACCACCCCCCTTACTCCACCAAAGCCTGAGCAGCACAGACAAGCACAGTTAGTCTGTATTGCAGAGGACTTTTCAGCTGCTGCAACAGTTGTAAAGGAGAGTTGAACTCTTCTGCAGCCATTGCTCAGCTTCATCCTCTGACAGCCATGTAACAAACCAGTGCCTGGGTGATTCCTTGTGCACTGGGCAGCACCACGTCCTTTCTCATAGAAACCTGCAGTACAGCAATTCCTCAGTGTCCCTGTACAAATATTGTTTGGTTTGTGTGGTTTTGGGGTTTTTTGTGTTGCTGAGATGTCACATGCAAAGGACAGGGGAATTCCAACATGCTCAGCAAGGAGGTGCTAGCACATTTGAATGCAAATATAGGAGGTGCGTTTTGACTTGGGTATGTAGGAAGGAATAGGAAGACAGAGTTTCAGCCCGTGGCAGCACCAGATGTGAATGGCATGCTTGGCTGTGCCCGGAGATGTCAAGAGCTGGCTGCTGCACTGACATAGCACAGCTTTTGCAGTAAAGGGAAAATCTTTTACGTGACCAGCCCTGTCTTATAAGCATTTCTCCTGAGTAATCTGTGAGGAGAACAGAACAGAACACCACCTCACTGCACAGACCCAGGAACAGGATTTAATGGAAGTAGCAGACATTTCACATTTGTAAGTCGGTGGTATCAGTTAAGGTGGCAAAAAAGGTGTGTGAGTTCCAGCTGCAGCCCTCTTACCTATCCCTATCAACAACAACTTCTAGTGGGCACACATGATTGCTACAGACAATAAACATCCTTTTTTTTAATGCCCTTTAGGACTTCTTTATTTCAAGAGCCCTGTATAGTTCTTTCCCTGTGCAATGTGGTATATATTGTGGAAGAAATATTCTTCTGTCAGTATTTTCCTTTTCCCCCCTTTATATCTGCTCTGTCACAAATATTAGTGCTTTTGATGTCATGCAGAAATGTATTACTGCTTCATCAGAGTCTCTACTTATTCTCAAACCAGAAAAAATGTAGAGGAAGAATTTTAGCTTGCACCTTCTGTGAGAATGCTGTGGCTAGAAATGAGCAGACATTCTTTCAACAGTTCCAGAGGGAATCTTTCTGAGCCTCATCATGTTTTTTTTTCTTATATTTTCCAGTTGTATTTCTTACTGCTACTTTCAGCTTTTTGCACAGCTATGGTTTTCTACAAATATTTATATGCAAAAATATAAAAAAATGCTACTTTTAAACCATATTTCTTTTTTCCTATGTAGTAGAAACCAGCTGGTTTCACACTGGATATATTTCAGAAGGTTCCCATATGGAGTATGTGCATTGATGAGTAGGAAGTGTTAGTGAGCAAGAACCACACAACTGCCTTGCGCCAGTTGCAGGAGTGCGTATGATGTTCTTCTCCCATCTTCTGTAAACTACTTTAGCATTCTTCTCCCTGTGTTATCCTCCATAAAGCAGTATGATATCCTATGAATTCCATATTTACAGTAAGGGAGATCCGTCTGTCGGCTCAGTCAAATGATACGAAGATGTGCTGTTTTGCCTCTAAGTAGTTAAGAATTGCAAAAGATTCGTTTTTAATGCTTAGTGCTTTATTCACTTTATTTTTCTTTTTAGTGCACTGCAAAATAAATCTTAAACATTTCTTCTGTTATCTAGCACTTCAAGGCTTTTCATAGCATTTGTAATGTCTCTTTGCCAACACTCCATCTGTGATTTTAGCTTGCAGGAAACACTTTGCAATTCTGTTATTAGCTTAGATGCAAAGAGCTGCTGTTTAAATATTAATTGTAACTTCCCTCATGAGTGCAGTCAAACCCACTGAGTAACTTGTGGAGTTCAATAAATACCTAGGAGGGGGTGGGGAGTGTGTTGTGGGGCTGCTCTTGGTCTTAATGAAGGCGTTAGGTGAGTTAACAGTACAAAATGGATTATGTACTGGTGCTCGCTGTCTCCTTTCCTCCTCTTACCTCAGTTCTGCTACTTGTACACACTGTTAAGCTGCAAGCACACTTCTTGATTATTAGTGGGCTTCTGCCAATGCCTCTGTAGGCGAAAGGAATACCACACAGTGCTCGCAAGAAAAGACAGAAGACCCATCAGTTGTTTCAAATCCCAGTTATTGGACAAATACACTTCTGAAGTACTTGTGTATTGCTCTGTCAAGGATCACACCTCAGTAAAGGCATTATCTTGTGGTTGAGCCCATCTCCTCTGCTTTCAGTTGTGAGCCTAACCCTATCTCGTTTCTTGATTCTACAAAATATACCTTACACTTAAAAAGTAGAAAAAATGGGAAAATATTAGTGTTTACAGGCATTTCAGTGAAGTTTATTTGATAGAATCAAGGAGCAAAGTAGTTCACGCCATCTGACCAGCCTGGTTTTTGTGGATCACAGAGCATTTTAATTGTAAGACTCACACTGGGTATAATTAAAAGAAGATGAGCCCTATTAAAGTCGTACGTTGTCTTTTTCCCTCTCTTCTCCTTCCAGATGGTCATTAATCTTTTATTGGTGAGGAGGTTTGCCTACGGTCTAATCTGAGATTTTTTCTCATGTCATTTAAGTGAGTTACTTCTCTTTGTGTTTGCAGGTGGATGGAATTTTAATGTGTTGAGTTCTGTTAATTGCTCAGAACTTAGATGTTTTTCTTAGTACCTTGCAAATGTAGAATGAATTAAAAAACATAATTAAATAGTACCCACATATTCCTTTTATTTTTCAGCTTTCTGTGAAGAAGGGTGCAGATACGGTGGAACTTGTGTAGCCCCTAACAAATGTCTCTGCCCTCCTGGATTCACAGGAAGTCATTGTGAGAAAGGTAAAGCTTTACTGGAACACATTTTCTTCTTAATGAGAAATATGATTCTGCTGAATTAAGAAATAATTGCTTTCCATTCCTTCATTCTGCTGGTTAGTTTGTCTTTGTTGAAGACATGACTGTTCCATAGCTGCCTTTTCCTAAGTGAAAGCTTGTCTTAAACATGGAAAGTTTTAGATAATCAGGGATGTATCTGCTTTTGCTTCTAGTTGACACTTTCAGTTAATTAGAGAAGATGGCAAGTGAAAAATATCTGGTTTTCCATGTATTTCCTGTGGTGCATCATTGAGGTTAACTTGTGCTTTTTCTGAATCTGTAATGCAAACTAGAGCCGAATTTGGATGCTTCTTTCACCTGAAGTTATGGAATTCTTGAGGTTTGATTTGTTGCTAACTCACTGAGGCCACCAATTTTCATAGAATCACTTAGGCTGTTCCAGTATATCTCACTAGCAAGGATTTGGTTCTGCCTTCTCACAGATTTTTCCTGTTTCAAGATTTGCTTCTGACAGCTTCCCAGTCCCACCATTTTGTTTGCTTCACGGAGTCCTGGTTCCTTGTCTACCTTAAATGAGAAGGAAGTGATCTACCAGAATTCCATGTAGAACTCTCATTAGATGCTTTTGTCTAGCAGATTTGGGATTTCATTTTTGTTGGTATTTATTGAGATTGTATTTCACCTAAATAACACAATGATAGAGTTTTTTGCATTACCTATTAATTAGTAAACCTTTTGCACTTGCCTTTACTGGTGGAGATCAAGTGGATTGTTAATGCAGGTTGTGTGATGCTGTATGGATGAAATTATAATTGATGAGGGTTTTAAAGGAATTTAAAAAAAGAAACCAAGAAATAACTGTTAAAAGGATCAGTTGAAACACTGGAACCATTTGTCATCCAGAGATTATTCTGTAACTTGTGTAGCAGTGTCTGTTCAATACATGGCTATTCGACTCTAATGCAAAGTAACTTCAGCCCAGTTGACAACAAATCTTTGAGTAGTTTCAGAAAACTGGTAACACTTTTTGTGGGTGCACTCAAATCACTGCACACCAAAATCCCATAGTTTCTAGTTGTCAGCATTGTTTCTTATTATTTATATCTTCATATTATCATGAATGAATTCAAGTACTGGTTTTTGGAGCTGTTTTTTGTTTGGTTGGTTTTTTTGCTTATAGCCTTTGAGTTATATTTTTTAAAATAGAAAAAAGCTCTCAAGCCTCCTGACATGCAGCAGTAAGTATTGCAAAACCGGTGCCTGCACTGCCCAAAGGTGCTCAGCTTTAAGCCAGATCTCAGGAAAACTCCCTGTTTCTTTCACTAAGGATCTTAGAACTATCCCTTTTTTTCTTGTGGCTGCAAAGGGACTTTCATAACTAGAACCCAGAGACATTACACTGTTGAAGTGATGGTTTAAAATTGATAAATGGATCACATAACCATTGTTGACTCCTATGTTTTTCATATATGTTGACTCTGATGTTTTCATGTGTTTTGTATTGGTTTGATCTAAAATATGAGTTAGCACACCAAGTAAAGGAAACCTGGCAGGTGTGGTACTCAGTATATCAATAAATTTAGAGGTAGCTGTCAGAAGGCACCAGCTTCTGTGTATAAAAGCTATACAACAGAAACCAGTTTGGTTTTTTTTTCCTTTGAAGATGTACAGGATTTACCAGTGTTGCTACAAGTTAGACTAATGCTGGTAACTTTGAGAAATCTGCTGTGCAAACTGGCTTGAGAATGAACAAGGCTTTGCATATGAGAAATTACCATGCTTTAGTTGTGTTGGAGGGTTTGAAAAACTCAGCAGATAGACCTTATGTTATATGCATATTTCAGTGGCTAACTGCATATTAGATCTATGTGAGAACAGCTTCAGCTTTTCTGAAGGTGCATGTCCTGGAAAAACTAAATGTTCAGAGTAGGAAGGTGATGAACCACCTTTGAAACAGGCTTTCCTTTGCTTCCCTGCTCACTCCTCCAGAATGTAGTGCTGTCAGGAAGAGGAGGAGACAGTTCAGTAAAGACTTCCTTCAGCCTCACTCAGCTTTTGGAAGCATCTGAAGTATTCAAATCCCATGTTTGTTTCTTTGTTTGTTTCCTGTTGTCTGTGATGTTAGAAATAAGCACGTTGCTATATTTAACATTTGGTAGCACCCTGTTGATCATTATGACATAGACTGAAGCCAGTGAAATGGTGGGTGGATCACTTTAAATCAAAACTTAAATGTTACTGTAAAGTCTTGCCTGATGAAAGCTCATGGTGAACTGTTGCGTATCAGAAGGAAAATTATATGTTTTGATAATGTATTCTGTTTGCCACAGTGCATTTAAAAATGCCCTTCAGACTGACAACACAATTCCTTACGCATTATTTGTGTGAGCTGAAAGAGCTTGTCACTGACTCAAAACAGTATGACCCAAATTGGCTTCAGCATCATGGAAAGGGTAAAATGGTCTAGTAATTAGAATGGTGAAAAGCAAGTGAGTTTACTACTGAATATGAATCATCTGTTACTCATCATTTCTGCCTGGTTGAAATGATGATATCAGGTTAATTCAAAATTCAGAGAGATTTGGGAAGGGCAGGATTTATGTTGGTAATTTTCTCAGGTGAAATTAAAATACACATTTAAGGCTAATGTACAGAAAATAAATACAGAATTCAATGTGCTGCTAAGAATTACCTCTTGCCACTTGCTTTGCCTGAAATGGGAATGCACCATAACAGTTGTGGGGTTGCCTTTTCTTTTTGTCGGTGAATTGAAAACTGATATTTAGAGATAGTGGCAAGTAATTCCTTCTTCCATTCAGTTCCTGTAATGCTGTCTCTTTAGGTATGTGCTTGATGTTTCTTATAGTATTGTTGCAATTTTCCTATTGAGGATCTGATTCCATCTTGGAATCAGTTTTTTGTTTATTTGTGTTGTGTTTAGCTGGCCAGGGCTGCAGTGATCTGTAGGATCATTACCATTTGACACAGTTTGATAGCTGATATTTGACACAGTTGTGGTACCTGTGCTGGAAAGTTTTGTGTTAGAGTTTTTGCTGACATTGCTGTATGGTTCCAAGCACGTATGTGCTTCATGGCTGAGCTGGAGATGCGCCTCCTTAACTCTATGGGGAACACTGTTGGCTTAAGCCCAGTTGCATCCTTGGCAGGGATCCCTGTTAAAGGCTTCTGAGGCACAGTTTGTTGTGCAGAGAGGAATGCAGACACGCCACTCTGTGAGACTTATTGGCAGCCTAGACTCAAATGCCCTAATTTTCTGTCCAGTGATGTTTTCTCCAGTTCATCTTTTTACAACATGAGTAAAAAATAAATCCCATTACTCCTTGAGCTGCTTTTTCCATCTGTGTGGATGAGTGGCACATCTCGTGAGTGAGTTCACATCTCGTGAATGGAGTTTTCATGCTGGTTTTGTAGACAGGAGTCACCATTATTCTGTATTTGTGAGCTGTTAGTTACTACAACTGCTGATGAAGTGGTGAGGATGAGACAGGCAGGACAGTCTGTGATATCAAAAGCAGGGCTGAGCAGATGATTGAGTGCCTAGAAATACCATGGCATTCCTTGAACACCTGCCTGCATGTGGTGGAGTCCTGTGCTGGGCCTAGGAAATACAGACCAGCTTCTCTGCAGCTCTGGGATGGTGACCAGTGGTGGCAGAGATAGCAGCTAAGGGAGTCAGTCACCGTGTCTGTACAAATGGTAACTTGGGCAATCAGCAGGAAATGGCAGAAGGGTTTGAAACAGACAGTTCCCAATAAGGGGCGAAAAAAAGGAAGTGCAGTATTGTTCCAGAAGCTAAAGGAGGGCTTTTGGCAGCGGTGGGGCATCACCTCCAAAAGGGGTTCAGAACAGTCACACCACATTGTTACTCCCCTGCCTCCTGACAGCTACTATGAGTTGGTACTGAATGGGAGATACTTTTCTGGTAGATTAGAAGGACATTGTGTAGGCCGGAGCTCACTGAATGATGAAGTTTTCTCACTGAGTGATGGAATGCTGTTCAAAGTTACTTGCTGACTGCAAACAGAAGCAAGGGTAAGACATGGCAGCAAAGCATCAGGATGTGATAAACCTGGGGTTATGTTTTTGTATTGGTTTGGACTGTGTGTGCAAAAGATTATTTGACATAGGGATGAGAGGTCATTTTTCAGTAGGTACCATGGCTGAGAAATATGCTTTGAATCCCAATAATTATACAGCGAGTGGGGAAATGAATTATTAATCAGTTAACACTTGCAGTTTTGTGTTAGTGACGTGAGAATTCTTCAGTACAGACATTGATTCCCCGGGTGTGGAATGAAATGTTGCTGTGCTTATATCTTGCAGTTGGACATGTCATGTATGTCAGGAAAATGAGGAGGTCTTTAGCTGATTTGTTTCATAGCTGTTGGCAATACCTGCAGTTGTTGTCTCAGAAGCTGCACACTTCTCTTTGGCCTTGTCTCTTAAATTGCTTCTTCTGGAATGCATTTTTTTGCTGCAGTCCTTTGGGTAAAACTCCTACAGTGTGTATTCCTTTGGACCCTAGAGATAGAAAAAACAAGAAGTGAGAATTGCATTTCTGTATGCTATTTCTTTGATTCCTGATCTGGATCAATCTTCAGGTGTGTAGCTATCAAAGACATTTCAGTTGAGGAACCTGGCTTAAAATAAATCAACAGACAAAAAGCAAAGCAGAACAAGAGGTGTTTCACTGAGCCTGGGAAACTAAATGTCAAAGCTCCCTACCTGTCTCTATCCAAGATCATCTATAAAATGCAAAGCGAGGTTTATTTTGGGAAACAACCAGCTGTGGGCACAAGGCTTTGCATGAGATCCTTTCTAAAGCCTCTCATTTCAAGGTGAGCAAAGCCAGCACAGTGTGAGATAAGAGGGGTGAAGTAAATTATGCTCAGCTTATTGCAGAAAACAGTGGTTGTGGCTGATGTGATGCTCCTGAAGGAGTGACAGCTCCAGGGAAGGCAGATACTCTGAAGGACTGAGGT